CTTCGGGAGAGAAGGGCCTTGGTGAGAGACAGGGTACGACTTGTGCGACGCCTAGCTACGCCATGCATGGCACATAGGACTGTGTTATTTTCCTCCCCAGGCCATTAAGACTGTGAAAGTAAAACGGCCAGTAGATTCCAGTGGCTCAAGACTGATACAACTGATACAATCCTCTTCAAAATGCATTTTCTCTCTTCCCCCCGCCCCCCCTGTAAAAACTCTTTCTGTGTAAAGGAAAAGGAAGTATGCAACTTCCACCATTTCTGGTCGTTTATGCGTGAAAATAATCGTTTCGTGAACATTAAAGCGCACTCCGCCGCACTGAAAACCACCGACAGAGGCGAAGGACGCTGGAGACCCTGGGTACAAGTTACAGCTGCGCTATGCGCATTTCCTTTTACCGATAGGGAACAAGTAAACTTATTTGACTCGTGACACATGAACTTTGGGTAGTTGGCCCGTTTGAAATCAGAACTAATGTCAATCGCAGTTACTCGTGTGTGTCTACTCTCTGTAAAGCAGCTTCACACCAGAAATATACACGATCATCGCACGACAAACCCCCCCCTACCCCCAAGGCCCTCTTGTTCTGAAGGCTGAGCAAATCCTATTAACCCTTCCACTCTCAGATCTCATAACTAATTCTCCAAACTGTCAGCCATACAATTCCCACGATGCCTATCAGAGAATTTGGAATTGGATCAACCATTAATCCCATAATTGACATTTTTCTTATGTCCCACCACTCGTCGGCCGATATTTTATTGCTACTGTAAGGAGAAATTATGTCTTGGTTACTTAAGGGAGTTAAAGGGTTAATGAAATATGGTGTCACGACTGACATGGCTAAAATACTTCGAATTATAGTTTTCGCTCGTGTAATTCCGGTCGATCGAAACAAATACTTTATGCACACTTATTCAGTGATCGTCCGTGAAATGGTGGCTAGCCTCTTCTACGCGCTTACAAAGAAATTTGATTTTGTCTTTTAGCAGACTTCTTAAATCATAAACGAATAAGCTGCGAGAAAACATTTTTATAATGAGCAAGGCAATATGTTACCATCAACTGCGGCTTCCAACAGTCAGAAGATCATTGTGACTTCACCGCGCTTCAGATATGACGCGACCTAGTCACCGGATAGGCGCAGTTGAACCTGGCGTAAATAATAGCATTTTAGACGCCCCCAGAATATATCGACATCACGTATCAAATGTAGTGTTGCCACAGTGAGGAAATCCATCAGACTACAATGGAAAGCAGTTTCACTGAAAAAAGAAGAACAGATAAAACGGTTGTATTCTTAATGTTTGTTCTCTGAGGCTGCAATATCGTTCTAGCTCAACAGGTAAGCCAAGCCGCGCAGTAATGTAGTCAAATAAGTCACCTTCATTTGAATATTGTACATGTGTTAGCATTCGATAACTGCTGTATTAATTATGTTTTTTTCCCTCCTACGCCTAAGAGGGTCTCAAATGAGGTAGAACGAAGGTCGAACTCCTTGTTTAGTTGGGGAAATTTAATTTGCACCAGTGCTACAAGATAAGGTTTTCTCTGACCTAAAGATTTCTACCCTTCCCCTGCTTTGCCTTCATCGAAATGTTTTTTCCAATGGGCCAAGGAGACAGTGAAGGGGAGTGATTAAATCACAAATATAGTGTAACCAGTTTATAATCCTGACTACATTGAAACTTAACTTTTATTTAATTATTCAATTATGTCAGTTTCAACCATAATTACTATGTCACCTCAGTCAAATAGCTTTCTATATAAGGAACACTTCGGTGGCTATCTGTTCTAAAGATGTTGCGAAATCGTCTGCCTATGTGAGGCAATCCCGCCTTACAGTCTTGCCACTGATTGGTTCGCGGAAAACAAAAACATCTCAAAAACGAACCAAACATTTGCGACTTCCTTTTGCTTTAAATGTGACTGCAGACCGGAAAATCAATAATAAAAACATTTGCGAGCACTTGCGGGTTTTCCTTGTGCAACAACGCTGCATAAATTGTTAAAACCAGTTGTTCCCATGAAATATTGTGTCACAGTGAATAGCATTACATAGTTTCGTGAAGATGCCAATGTGTCACATGGCTAGTTGTAACCAATAATACTACAGAAAATGTGATTGCATAACCCGTTCAAATGACACATGTCATGGGTCACGTGATCTTGTTACACGGGCGGCACGTGGCCTTGGCTTTCGCTACGCTTGAAGCTTTATCTGAGGTCAGGATTTAGCATAGCTACGGGATTTTTGCTTCACTTTTCTGTAATTTCTGCAGTTTCCAGCTGTTTGAGGTGTTTTGCAGCTGTTTTAAGTTATACTGTGTTCAAACTGTGTAGTTTCTGATATTTTTTTTTTCTGCTTTTGATGGTAGGCCATTTGAGGCGGGCTTTGCTTTGAGTTGCGGTGGAAGACGGGAAGCAGAGGGTCAGTGAATGGATTAAAAAGTTGTTACCGCGTAAGTAAACCGCCTGGCAGTCAACAACGTGAATGGTTTTCCGCTTTTCCGTCGTTTTCCGTCGCCGTAAAGTATTGGAAACAGCCTCTGTTCGATGTATGTTACCTTCTTGTCAGCTCTGCTGCGAACACAACACTCTATTGTAGTTTACAAAATATTTTATCGTAAGACAACTAAGCTCCACAAGTCTTGACCAAATTATTTTTGGCGGTGCTGCAAGAGGGGCTTCAGCTACTTCGTGAACCTCCAGTTTCGCGGTGTGTAGTTTTCTCTGTCTTGTAATGGTGTATGCGTTTGCTGAGCAGAAATCGTCAACACGATTGCGTGCATTCAGCTCTTGATCCACAATTCCAGTTAGCTTACTGGGTTGCAGACGGGAATCTCGATTTTCGAGCAATGCATGGTTTGAAGGAAGCTAGTGTTATCATTCTCAACAAGGGAACTTAAGTAGGTTGGCGTTGCTGATCTGTTTCGGAGTTGAGCGAATAGAGAGGCTTATTTACATCTGTTGTTCAGTTTGCAGATCCAATGCATTAAATGCTTACTGTCGTCTCTGTTAACTTTTACTTGCTGTAGATCTCCTCTCACCGTAGTATAGTAGAATAGGACGTCTCTCGTCGTAAAACAACGCTGTAAATTGGACGTTATTATTTCCTCCTAGGTGAGTATGTCCTGAATTTGCGTAGGAACTTTTTTTTAAAAGTTTAAAATGCAAACAAGTTTCCGTTAACACTCAGTTGATCCTTCATTGTGTTCTCAGGGCCATATCACAGCGGCTGTCGATCCGTTGGATTTGAAGTACTTGATCTCGGTGCGCTTTTTACCGAGTAATTTTATCGGAAGATTTCAAAGTTAAAAGTTCTTGTACCCATAGTTCACTCGCTTTTTTAATGTACATCTTTGTGGGAAAAGAATGTACATCTGGTGGTGTAGAAAATACACACACCTCGCATGCATGACAATGAAGTTATGGCGTGTGAAAGTCTTAATGGCGCACCGAAATCTTCTCCTTATATTTACTTTAAAGAGCGTTGTATAAACGATTCAGAAGGCAAATTACACATTTTTACTATTTCTATGGACATATGATGTGAGGTGTATCGGTGAAATATTTCTATATTGACATTTTTGCTGATGCCGATGTTGACGCCTGTTAGCCACGGGTACGGGTTGGGCTGGATGGTGAATAGCGTCGTGCACTGGAGTGATGACGCGACTAAATGAAAATTGTGACGAAAAATTTGTCAGTCACAGTAAGTCTCGCAGACTGAGGAGGCAAGAAATAGCCTTGTGAAACTTACTGAAGTTCGGGGCTTTCACATCACCCTCCTGTTAATTTAGAACCATACACTGGGCTGCAGCAATTGGGGTTGCCTTTGGACGCTCGCAATGTGAGAGAAAATAGCTGGCGTCTTTAATTTGCGTTTCTTTGAAGTGATTGACCGAGTTTTACACCCGACGGTTCCATTTTATTTCCATCTTTCGTTTCAAAAGAAAAACCTATCTCTTTTCATAGGTATCGTGACTTTAATTTTGAGAGAAATTAACAAGGACTTTGCCTTGATGATATGATGGTCGCATCATCCAAACGTGGAATAGCATCAGACTGTATTTCTTCTGATCTTTTTTTCTTTCAGGAAACATTTAGTTTGAAGGAAAAATACTTAATATCGAATAATTTCCCTCTCTTTGCTCAATCGTGAGTGTGTAATCGTACGGATTCCTTGGGATACCTGATGGTTTTCGTCGCGTGTCATGAAATCAACATCTCTTCTATTAGGAATCTCGGCAGAGCTTTTGGTTTCTTGTAATGTCGGTGTTGCTGTTATTATTTTTTTTTCTAAACTGTCTTGGCCCTGATTAGGATGCATTTTATTTTCTCTTGATCACACAATTTTATGTTGAACTTCCCAAAGTGTTGGTTGAGAGAATCTACTTGAAGTTTAAAAGTGAACTGGAACATCACCTGTTTGCTTTCTTCTCAAGACAGCTCTCAATTGGCATGCATCTTGCTTTTTATACTGTGGGTCAAGGATTCAGCTTTGTGCTTCAGTGGAATCCATACAAATAGGCTTTTTTGAGTGAATTTTGATTCTTTGGATTTGGTGTTTGATGATTTGAATTGCCTAGTTCAGTGGCAATATACATGACGAGTGTCAAGTGAAAACTTGTGTTAAAATTTCCTTGAAAACAGGAACGTGGGGAATAAACTTTATCAAAGAAGCATAATTATGATTTGAAGTAGCATCACATTTACTTTTTTCTCGCATGACTTACTTCGATAATAAGTAATAATAATTTGCTTTGTAAACTGTTTTTAATATTTAAGTTTTCAAACATTGTTTCACTGGGTTAGCACAATGTTACAATCGCTGTCAGACTTGAAGCTCATTAGAACCTGTTCTTTAGCGATGGTCATGAATTAAATTTATTTTTGCTTTATTGCAGTTGGCAATGTGTTGTAATTGCGTGATCATAAATCTTCCTTATCTATTGTTTGGCTGATCTAATTTGCGGGGTTTTCCCTGACCTTTCAGCTTTAACGTATGCTTTGTGATGGAGTATGCCGGACGTGAAGAACCACAAGGGTAGGCTGCTGGTATTTATACATGCGTGTCCAATTGTGTTTTTCTGTTATAACTACTTAATTTTAGTACTCAGGATTTGCATTCACAGAAGACTAAACAGTCTACTGTAGTGTTTCGCAGTTTCGCTTCTGCTCACTAACGGAAGTTGAATACAAGTTGTACAATTAGTAACTATATGTATTCAATGAAATGTTCAGATGTAACAATTCAAGTTTTTGATGGCGATTGTCATTTTTGTTGCTCTTAAATAATATTTCCAAAGTTTGTTTACCCTTGTCATTGAAGCTTTTCCGTAAATAATAGTCTGGTAGACTATTTTTTTGTTTATGTATCGTGACTCACGTGCTGACCTATGCCAATAATCAAACTAGGGTTCATCCTACTGTCTGATTCTTTTGTCTGGTCCTCAGTGTAGTTCATTGTGATATTAAAACTTGTGAAAACACCTTCAAATGTTTGTGATCAAGGAGCTTCTTGTTTATCAGACGTTACTCTTCAAATGGTTGTTGACCTAAACCTTTACACTATTTTGTTACCGTACTATGTTGGCCGTCTTTGCATGTAAATAATGCGGGTACTTTTCATGCATGGAAGAAAGGATGATTTTTTGTTTTCACCATGGGCTCACCCTTAGGTTACAACATCAGGTAGAGAGAAAGATCACGCATTATGAATTTTTCCTCCTTCTCTGTATTTTATCCTAGTTCAGTCTTAAATATTTTCATTTCCTGAACTTGCTCTGTTTATGTGCTCATGGTACATTTGCTTTTATTATTAGAGCTGTCGGACCTGTTTTGGATCAAGCAGCGGCCCAGGTATGTGTTTTTTTGAGCCGGAAAGGTCACCCAGTTACTTACCATTCATTCCACTAGTTATGTAATCTTTTTTCTTATTTACATGTAAAGCACTTACCCTGTAAGAGTTTACAATGCATGCGATTAGAAGGGTGCTGTCTAGACTTGTTCAAAAGTGCCTAGCAGTAGATATGATGCATGTAGAATTAGAGACAGCTGTTTGGAGGTTACTTTATAGAATGGTTCAATAACTCCTGTGTAAGGACTTATCTATACATATGGCGCAAGGGTAATTTGTTTCGTATGCCTTTGTCATGTTGAGTTTGCATTTTAAGAGATGGCCCCCACAATTACCACATCCGTCTGTATTTGTGTCATGTTTATACAAATGTTTGTTCTGTGTTGAAATCCAAATACTTAAACCTTGGCTCTTTTAGCTTTGTGATGCTATGTTTATTTGGAAGACAACGTAGGCAAGTTCCAAATGAGTTGAAAAAAAAAAACAGGTGTTAAAACTATTTCCAGCTTTAACGATTGGTAAACTTTGTGTAAATTTACTCTCAGGAAGAGGTTTATTTATGAATAGTTTGCCCAAACGCAATTTGAAATGGTAGGATATCAAAATTATATAAGATCCGTGGTTCAGCCTCGGGGAACATGGGCAAGATAGACTCCCGTTGCCTTCGTGCAAGTTTACATTGATTGTGAATGTTTTGGTGTTGCCCTTGGTGTCTTGAGCTGATATTTTGTGAAACTTTGAAAGTCTGCAAACTAGATCTGTGCTATCAAAAGATTGAAGCCTTATTTTCAGGTTTACCTATTATTTGATTGATCACGTGATTTTTCCCTGTGAGGAAAACAAGCGGAAATTCTACAAATGAGTAATGTATCTGTGGACAAGCAGAATATGTTAATAACCAGATAGTTGCTTGACTTCAAATTTACATTGCTCTTTTGGACCAGCTTGTTAATGCTGTTCGCCTCCTACAGAGAGAGCTACATCTAGAAGCCTTAGTTTGATGATATTTGAGCTGAATAGAAGGATCCTATGTCACTAGCATCATTACTCCCATTCGAAATCAGCTAGCAATCCATTGTGCATGTTTGTGTGAAGCTACATCATCAATCTGGAACTCCTTTGGTCAATTTGTAGACACTAGTTTGTCTGAATTAGGGAGAGAACAGTCTGTTTGCATTGGCAAGCTGCAAAAACAATGTTTTTTGTGAAGTTTACAATAGAGCTGATTTTATGGCCGAGTTGATATTTTTGTTGCAGTGATTAGCCATGGTTTATGCCTGCAGTTGTTACATCTAGATTTGGCTTAGTAATAATGTGTCAGTGTTAATTTTACTGGGTGATGTTGGAGATACAGGCATGTTTATTTTCTAGAGTTTGGTGAACGAAACCTTCTCGTCTTTTGCAGTGTTGTTCATCTTACCTTAAAATGATTGAAATGCGTTTCTGGAACTATCAGCTGTAGTCTTGCTCAGTTCAAAATGATTTTCTCATAATGTATCTATGTAGGTCAAATATCATGAATTGGTCCTTCCCTGACATTGTTAGATAGTGTTGAAACCTAAATTCCTTTTGCTCAAGCTTCGATATATGCATGTTACCTAGTAATCAGTGAAATTTATTAGCATTATCAATTTCACGAAGGTATAAAAATCAGGCACTCTAATTAGGTATCCTACATTTTAGAAAACATAAATGTATATTTTTTGTAATTTGATGTTTGATATATTATGTACAATACTTATTGAGTATTGTACATGTAACCAGTGAAAAAACTCCTTGACACTAATTGCAGACATCACTATCACATTTAGCCAGGAGCTTAAGATTAAGCTTGTTTAGTGAAGGAATTTTGTTCCATTATGTAATCTTCCCGTGTTTGTATTCTATGACAGTTCCAGATCAGGATGTTTGGGAAATGTCAGTTCATGTGAAGCATTTCATGATTTGATATAATTCAACTTCATTTGAAGAACAAGTTTGTCTGTTTCAGAATGTAAGCTCGTCTTCTACCCTTAATAAAGTGCAACTTGGCGATGTTAATTGCAATATTGACAATCCTGAACCTTGGTCTTTCAAAGGAACATGTTCTAAATATTTTCCTTTGGTTTGAGTTCATAAGTGATAAAAAGTAATTGTGTGATGATGAGTTACAAAATTGTTGTCATTGAAACCTAAAATACCTCTAAAGTTATTCAAGAGACTTGTACATAGCGTAAAGGCATATCTAAATAGGAGTTGTTGCCGGACCCAGTGTTCAGGTTCCTTCATTCCATTCACTAGTAAACGTGAATATGTAAATAATTATTTATGATATTTTTATTGCCTCTATAGTAGTAGTAGTAGTGTTAATAATTTGTTGATTTTTAATTTTTAACCCTTTAATTCAGTTAATTCTGCAATGTGGCAAATTAACGGTATATATAAATAGCAAACTAATTATCAGTGTTCGTAAACCTTATTTTTATTAAATGCAAAATATGCCTCTTTGGTTTTTAAGCACGCTCTACATGCATTTGTAGGTATTGATATGGAAGATAACAGGGTAATTGGCTGATTTTGTTGTTTTGATTCACAATGTATACCGCTTCCATATACAACTTTCTCACTTAATGTGGGGTTTTAAGGAAAATGCAGGACAAGACCCAGCTGAAATCTAGTTCAACAATTACTATGGTGCCTGTAAAATGCATTGTTTATTCAGTTAATTATTTTAAGTTAACAATTGCAAGTTCCTGTGTTTCACAGGTATTTTAATATGTGTGAAAATTTACAGAAAGCTGTTAATCCACCTTTGGAATGTAATTCTCTCTGTTAGTGGCTATGATTTTGCCTTTGAATTTCTTCAACTAAGCCAAATTCACATAATAGGTAGATTATTTATGTTTTTATAACTCCATGCAATTTTGTCAATGATTACTTTTCCTTTCAAATTGTTGCCACCATAAACCACCAGTCTCCCGGAACAAGTAATTTTGAATACATGTCATGTTAATCTTATTGCTGCTCTTGATAATTTCAGAAATGTCTCCCTCTTGAGTATCATTTTGATATATGCTTGTAGTTGTTTTGGAATAAAAATTCTATGAAAGTGAATTTTGTAAGTTGGATGTGTTGTTACCTGTAATTGAAAGGATTTTTTCATTTGATTTGAAACTTTGATTTCAAGGTGCTTTTGCTAAAGAAGATTTGCAGGAATTTTCCATTAATATGAGAAGACCTGTAACCCAATACATACTTGTTCAGGCTAGATTTGGGAGGCATCATTTTCCTTTTTTCCTCAGTGGATGCTTTCAATGTTTTTGTAAAGCATAAAATATTCATAGGCCTTTGTTGATGTGTGGATTTTTGAAACCAAAAGAGCAATCTAATGGTAGGATTGAATTCAAATAAAACTTCTATCAAATTTCGGATTATTTGGAAGACAACAGATGCTATTATCACTCTGATCATATGGCATTTTTGTCTAAAGAATAATAAGTTAGAACCATCTAGACAATATAAGAACTGTAGCATTAAATATTTATCAGCCACAGAAGATACATGTTCTGTGTTAACCACCAAGAGATGATCAAGGATTTGTGTTTCTTTGTTTGACACCATACTTTTTTTTGGCTTTAATCTTGTCGTAGTCTGATGGGTAGGGTAAGTGTGGAGACATTCATTTTGCCAACATTACCTTAAAGGAAACCATTTTAAACTTGTTACTTGGAGCTTTTTAGGCTTTATCCTTGCAATGATACAGTTTGAAACAGTTACATAGCAAAAAAATAACACAAATAGGTTGGCACAACATTGGGAAATGCTGGCTTTCCACACTATTACAGCTATTCACTTCAAGGGATATAACATTCAAGTGGTGCTCTGGTGATTATATTTTGCCAAACATTTTTGTTACCTAGGCACTAGTCACTACATTTGGTAATGAGTGAAAGTGTATAGGGGAAGTCTTGTTATCTTTTTGAAAATTGTGGTATGAAATTCACTTAAATTTCACCCTCGGGTAATAATTGAATAAAATCTTTCTGATAAGTCTCTTTCACAGGTCAAGTAGATTTATGTCACGAAACTTAAAGGGAAGTGTTTAGCTGTACATGAAGACTGACAATTTAAAGTGGCAAAACTTTATGGTTGTTGATCATTAATATTTTGCTTCATACCAGTTTCAGTGCAAGAAGGGCTATTTTTACATTGTTAAGCGTCTTGTAGAGAGGATTTTTTTTAATAACCAAGAACACTTAGCTGGGATATCAAGTCAACTTGGACAAAAATAATAATAGGGATTTCTACAGCTGGGACAATTCCTGTCCTAGTGAACTATCCTGGGTCTACTGACTGGGTACATTTGTGATTGTTTGGTATTTTTTCATGGCTTTCCAGTATTCATACATGGGAGAAGATGAACTTCCTGATGTTAGGAATTCACAATCTCCTGATGGAGGAAAAGATAAAAGGAATGGCTCCAGAACAGGAAAACCAAGGTCAGCCCGTGGTAGCAGGCAGCCAAGAGATCATGATTATTGCATCAGGTAAATTCAGATCTTTGTAACTGCTATGTCATGTTTTTATATTATTGCATGGGTGACTTGAATGTTAACTTGAACAGAAATATCCTGTTCACTGTTATAACTTCTTAAACTCCCAAACTTCTTAAACTGCCTCCCGGTTAGCTCAATTGGTAGAGCGCCCGACTATTGTGCGGGAGGTCGTGAGTTCAAATCCGGCCAGACCAACACTCAGGGTCTTTAATCAACTGAGAAGAAAGTGCTGCCTTTGTAATAATATCTGCAAATGGTTAGACTTTCTAGTCTCGGATAGGGACGATAAATGGAGGTCTTGTCTCCTGCAGGGTTGGGGTAGGAGACGTTAATTTCCCACACACGAGATTACTGTGTGATGGATGTCCTCCCTGGGGTGGGATGGGTGGGTAAAAAAAGGGGTTAAGTGTCAATTGGAACTAAAGTTCTGTTCCTTTCTCCTGCCATTCCTGTGGCGAATGAATTAAACTAAACTAAACTAAACTAAACAGTGGAACTTCTCTGTGTAATGTTCAGTACATGATCCAGCAGTGAGGTGTTTATTGGGCATGTGAAGGAGAATCTTCTCTCCAGATACTACACTGTATGCTCCATATGAATTTTGATGACCTGAGTTATTTTTATTTCTCCTCACATGGAATTGAGGTGTAATGCATTCTCCAGTTACTTTTCTTTCTCCTCCTATGACTTCATTTGGTTATGAAAACCTGGCAGCATATATCAAAATGTTTCTTTTTGAAATTTGAGAAGTGGGCTTATTTGTATGTGGTTCATTTATACTGTATGAGACCATTCATGCCATTTTATCTATTTTAACTAAAAGTTTAATATACCTTTTCTGTGGGTTCTTGCTTTCTTTTAAGGTGGTCATTGTCCAGGGTGGAGTCTTGCATTACTACATTGTTACACGTTGTCATCGAGATTAGTTTGGAAGTTCAGTTGTACCTACACACACTTCCTTCCTTTTACAATATTCTGCCCAATATAACAGTGTTTTTTGAAAGTTCCTCTGAACATAACTTTTCCTTCTTAAACATGTGGACGTTTAACAAAGGGTGATGTCATTTTTTAGAGTTCTTGTTCCATCCACCATGGTGGGAGCCATTATTGGTAAAGAAGGAAAGAAAATAAAAGATCTTACAGATAAAACTGGAACAGAGTGAGTACGGTAGATAAGGGTATCCTTAATTTATGATTCTGTTGAGTTAATTTGATTCAGCTTTACTAGTGATATCCACATATAACTGTCTTCTTTACCATTTCAACTTTTTAGTCATAAGTGCTCACTACATTCAATAGTACAATTGATCACAAAAGGGCAATTTACAGGTGCATTGGAATTTTATTTTCAGCATCACAGTGCACAAGAAAGATGATAAGGGTCCTCCAGAAAAGGTAACAGATAAATGATTTCTGCTATGCATATTTGTGCAAATGTGAATAGTTCAAGATGGGCATGTTATCTGTGTACAATATTTTTGGAAACAATGATAAAAAGCACAATTTTAGAAAAGGGCACTGCTGTTGATTTTCTAGTTGCAGAAATTTTGATATCCTTTTCTTCTATCAATTGGCACTGAAATTTTTGAAATATGTCTTCTCTTGTGTTTGCTCTAGGTTGTAGAGATTGTTGGAACAGCAGAGCAGTGTACTGAAGCTAACCTTGGCATTCACAGGACTATGCGTGCAGAAACTGATCCTGCAAAAAGAGGGTAGGATATAACAAACAAGCAATTTGTTTTCCTGGTCAGTGACATTGAGCGACTTTGCTTTGTGAAAAAGAATTGATGCTCTCCTATCAAATGTCTGAATTTAATCACAGTTTTGCAAGTCAGTTTCTAGGTAATGTGAGAGCAGATCAGTTACTCTTTAATTGAACTGTGAGAGAGAATGGTAAACAATTGAAAAAAAGGCAATTTAGTAGTGGCAAAAGACCCTAAGATTTGCTTAGCAACAGCTTTATTTTTGTTATAATTTTCGTTAGACATCATGTATATTTTTGCTCCTTTATTAATTTCTGATGCTGTTTTACTTTGTTGTTCCAGCCAAGTTATTGAGATGCGTATATTGGTTCATAGTAGTATTGCTGGAAGAGTGATAGGTAAGGTGTGTCTAAGATAACTTGCTGTTTAACAGAGATAACAGTCAATGCACAAGTTTTATCATACAGACAGACATGTTTGGCACTCTGAAGCAGTACCTAATGCACAGAGTTAATGACAAATTTAATGTGCATGTGTTAACTGCCCCCCCCC